CCCCAAAACCCCAAAACCCCAAAACCCCAAAACCCCAAGACTAGTATGCTAAATTGAGTTAGAAATGCTTATTCGCCTGCAAGTTCCTCATCACCAAGTCATTTAACCTGGACTTAGTCTTTTTCGGAATTTTATTCGATTTTGGAGGCGCTTTTTGATCCTTTTTGTTCATTAGAGGACTTCCAGCCATTACTGCTTCCTTTTCACCAGATTTTCCTAAATCCTTAATGTCCTGTGTAGGAGATTTCTTCTTGCTTGAACCTGAGGAGATATCGTAGGAATCATCAGAGTTGTAAGACTCTATGAATGAAATTTTTTGTTGTTTGTTCATTTCGTCATCAATTTGGAACTCAATTCTACCATCTTCTTGTTCAGGAGCCTCAAATTGAGAATTGATCGATCTTGAATTCTCATCGACTTCATTGCTTAGCTCAAATTGTTGGCCTGAGAAGATGAAATGTTTGTTATTTCCTTTATCCTCACTGATTAATTTCCCTGTACTTTCAGGGATATTCTTGTTCAAATTCTTCTGATAAAACTCATAGAGAGACATTTGTCTCTCTGGAGTGTTTAGCATTACTATTCCTTTCTTCAGGACAGGGTAGAGAGAGAAAGTACCTACTTGATACTCCCTCTCTGATATCTTTTCAACACTATGTTTGTGGGGATTGGATTCAAAATCTGAGAAATATTTGTAAATCTGTTTCTCTATTGTATCAGCGTCAGGGCTGTTCTCACTTTTGGCTTCATCCTCAGCGATATATCTGTCCATGGAGTCATTGTCATTGTAAGTTCCTTCACCAAGAGTCTGCGACTCTTGGTTTAAGGAACTAAGAATCTTCTTGAGCTCCTGGACCTCCTTCGCTCTGGTGGTGACATCATCTTCAAGTGAGTCCATATGTCTCTTCTTCTCATAGAGGATATCTTTGATTTGAGATTGCTTCCTCCTTTCACTGATTTCCTTGTCCTTAAGCTTTTTCTTCATATTGACTTTCTCAAGGATCTGGTTGTTCAGGTTCTGAATTTCAAGCTCGAGGCTCTCTTTCTTATCCTCCAATTCTTCTATATTATCAGCAAGGTTGATGTTATAATCCTTGAGCTCCTTTTTCTTCTTCTCAAGCTCTTCTAGTTGCTTAATTTTAGCTTTCCCTACAAAGTGCTTCTGAGCTTCTTTTTCTTCTATTTCTTGCTTGAGCTCTAGGATTTTCTCCTCTTCTAGCTCGATCTGGAGGTCAAGCTGCTCTTGTTCCTTCTTACATGCTTTGAGGTAGGTAGATTTTTCATCAAGTTGCTCCTGAGTTTCCTTCCTAATCTCGTTCCATTTAGCGAAAGCATCATCAAGTGTCCCTCGCATTTTCTTGAGATTTTCATTTTTATTTATCAATCTTGTTCTTCATCTCTTGGATCTTGCCTTGATAATTTTTCCTATAAGGTCAACTGAAGCTTACTGGATTAAATCTTTCCTAATCTCATGTTTCTGATGCATCTCAAGGGTCATGTACTTGAGCTTAAGCGATGCGAGGTGCTTTTCTAGCTGGACGATATAGACCTCCATTTTCTGGATGGAGATTTTAGCCTCTTCAATTTCCTTGTAGCCTTGTCTGATGTCTTCTAACTTATGGTGATATCCTGAAATCATTTCTTCAAATTGAGTGAAATCTTCATTCATTTTCTCAACTTCTTCTTCCTCGAAGATGGCGAAGTTCTGTTCAAACTCTTTAAGAGCTTCAAAGTGATCCTGATTCTGTCCAAGGCTATTGTAGTCTGCTGCAAGGGACTCAGCTTCATCCCGGCATTGCTTGAAGGAGAAAATCAAGTCATCTAAGTCTTGAGTGTCGATGGAGTGGATCATTTTGAAATTCAATAATATTTAATAATTCTGGGGTTTTGGGGTTTTGGGGTTTTGGGGTTTTGGGG